CTGGAAAAGGAACATTGAAGGATTTCTTGCTGGAAAGGGTGGGGAGGCCTTGGCAGGGGCTGCCCAGGGAGGTTTGGAGTGCCCAGCCCTGGAGGTGTCCCAGGAAGGCCTGGCCGTGGCACTCAGTGCTCTGGGCTGGGGGACAAGGTGGGGATGGGGCACAGGGGGGATCCATGGGCTGGGAGGGCTTTTCCAAGCTCAGGGGTCCCGGGACTGTGTTGCTGTGGCAGCACAAAGCCCTGCCCCAGCCCCAGGCTCAGTGCCCTGTGTTGCAGTGTCCTGGCCCCGCTCCGGTACTGCTGCGATTTCCGGCCCTACTTCACCATCCACGACAGCGAGTTCAAGGAGTACACGACCCGCACTCAGGCCCCGTGAGTACCCCCCGGGCCCCTCCTGCCCCTCTGGGTGAGGAGACCCCCCCCATGTTTCCATTGTCCTGCTTTCTCCCCCCTCTCCAGGCCGAACATCGTGGTGGGCGTCACAAACCCTTTCTTTATCAAAACCCTCCAGCACTGGCCGCACATCCTGCGGGTGGGGGAGCTCAGGATGTCAGGTGAGGGTGGCACCGAGGTCCTGTGGGGCTGGTGGGCTGTGCAGGGGGCTGGCAGGGAGCTGCAGGGGCTGTGATTTTACTCATCTTCATTCCTGGGAGAGCTGGGAAGCCAGGGGAGGTGTGGACGGGCTCAGGCCACGTGCAGGGGGGTGCAGTGGGAGAGACAGGTTCTGGTGAGGGTGATTGGCTGTGTTTTCCTTCTCAGAAAAGGAGAAGCCCTTCCTGGGCAGGAAAGAGAAAACTGCCTTGGGAACAAGAAGAAGGTGGAGGGAGAGACTGAATTATTAATTGTGAAACCAAGAAACCTCGAGGTTGAGGAGCTGGTTTTGTGCAGTGCCTCCTTAACACATCCCTGTTCCACAGTGGTAGCAGGACAGTGAGATGAGGCTTCTGTGAGGGTAGAGGGGAGGGAGGGTGTGAGTTAGGATGGACAAGTGTAGGGCTGGGTGTTCTCAAGGGCAAAGTGTCTCCCAGGGGCAGAGGCAGAGCCTGAACTGTCACCCCTGTCTGTCACAGGCGACCTGCCCAAGCAGGTGAAGGTGAAGAAACTGGCCAAGCTCAAAACCCTGGACACAAAACCAGGTCAGTCCTCTTCTCAGCCACAATCCAGTCTTGTTTACCCTTCCCTGGGGAGGATTTTGCAGGAATGAGAATGTTGTGTCCATCGTTCTTTGCTTCCCCACAAGTGGATGTGTTGGTGCTGCCACCTCCTCACACCTGATCCAGGAAAACTGCACACCTTTGTTCTTTGGGGTGGAAAAAGCCAATTTGAATTATTGTAGCACATTGTCCCAGGGTTTATTTTGTGTACCACACCTGCTGTTTAGGTGTGATGGCAGTGAGGGGAACTTGCTCAGCTGTCACAGCTGAGGGTCCCTCCCAGCCCCTGCCAAAAGCTGCCTCCAGGAAGTTCTCTCACCATAAACTCAGTGTAAGAAGGTGCTGGAGGCAGTTCAGAGCCCTTTAATCCTGCTGTGAGTACTGGCTGCCTTAGCAATTCCATGATTTTGCAGCGATTTAATGATTTTTGTAATTGCACAAACAGCTCCCAGGGTCTGTGCTGGGGATCTGTCCTGTCCTCCCTGCACTGTGTGACAGTGTCTCCTCCAGAGAAACAGGCAAAAATTTGTTTCTCATTTCTGTTTTTCTTTTTCCTGATTTTATGTTTTTTTTCCAATCTAGGAATCTACACTTCTTATAAAACATTCCTTCACAAAGACAAATCCCTGATAAAAAGATTGCTAAAGGTAAGCACTTCCCACTCTCTCCTGCATCCTGGGTGGGAAATCTGTGCCACCAGCTTGGTTTAAACAGACAGAACCCTCCAAAAGGAGCAGGCTTTGCAGTGGGCAGTGATTTAGTTGGGTGTATTTGGACATGTCTCTCGTGCCAGATTTAGGATTTTTCACATGATATTAAGGATTAAACGCTGGTTCTGACGATGCCCTGAGCGAGAAGAATTGATACCAAAATGCAGCCCAAACCCCAGGTTTTGTGTAGTGCCATTTGCAGTTTCAGGGTGTTTAAGTGGGGATTGGAGGCTGTGTTTGGCAGCCCAGTCCCAGCCCAGTCCCAGCCCAGTCCCAGCCCCGTGTGTGGCTGCCCGTGGCTGTTCCGTGTCCGTGGGTGACACCCCAGTGACCCTGGGGGGGTTGTGCTTCCAGGGGATCCAGAGGAAACGTCCCTCCGAGGTGCAGAGTGCCCTGCTGAGGCGTCACCTCCTGGAGCTCACCCAGAGCTTCATCATCCCCCTGGTGAGTGCCAGGGAGTCCCCAGGGGAGAGGGGAGGGCACAGGAGGGCGAGGGGTTTGCTCTTCCCTGTAACAGCGTCTGTAGCAGGCTCAGGAGCGTGGAATCCTGGAATGGTTTGGGTGGGAAGGGACCCTTGAACTCATCCCAGCCCCTGCCATGGGCAGGGACACCTTCCACCAGCCCAGATTGCTCCGAGCCCCATCCAGGGGTTTTAGTGCCAGGGATGCCAGTCCCTCCTACCAACCTCTTCCCACCTCACCTGTTCTCTCATGGCACGCTTGGGGTTCCTGCAGCAGCATTTTGTGACCTAGATCCTGGTGGGAAACCAGCTGGGACACTTGGACTCACGTAAAATGCGACTGTGAAGGAAAAAATGGAGGAAAAACCCAAAGTATGAGGCTGTTGTTGGGCCTGGGATGCTCTGGAGAAAACCCTCAAACTCTGTGACCTCACAAGAGGCTCCTCAATTGTTGGAACTTCTGTATCACTATTTTAATTTCTGGGGTTTATTTCTTCTCAGGAGCACTATATTGCCAGCCTGATGCCTCTGCAGAGAGCCATCACTCCCTGGAAGGTAGGTTGGGTTTTCCAGTTGCTCCTTCTTCCCTGTGACTGCAGGGTTGGGAGTTGTTGCCCCACGTGGGGGGGATCACACGCTCTGATACTCCCTGTAACGTCCCTCCTTAAAGGAAGAGGGTTGTTACTCCTTTAAAACTAAAATAAAGAAGTTGAAGCAAACCTTGGGACAGATGTTTCCTGTTTTGCCATGAGCTGAGCTTTGGGAATTTCATTGGAAGGTTAACCTTAAGGTGTTCCTGCAGTTTTATTCCGAGGCTGTGCTTTGTGCACCTTTTCCAGTGTAAATACAGGCCTCGCTTTCCTGGTTCCTTTTGGAGTTCTCTAACCTGGACTTTGTGTGTGCAGAACCCTCCCCAGATCCGTCCTTTCTGTCAGGAGGATTTCATGAAGACCCTGGAACACGCTGGGCCCCAGCTCACCTGTGTGCTCAAGGGGGACTGGTTAGGCCTCTACAGGTAGGATTTGGGGCATTAATTCTCTTATCCCATCAACAGTTATTAGTTATAATGAACATCAAACCCTGAAATAGGACTGGGAGCAAAGAGGGAGTTTTGGGACTGGTCACCTGCAGAACTTATCCTATGAATTGATTGATTCAGAATGGTCGGGAAGAGCAACATCAGGTCAGAGTGAACCCGGTGGTTTGTGGGTCTTAATGAGCAGGGAGGGTTTGTCCACAGTTACAGTAAGGCTAATTAAATATAAATGCTATGGAAAGGACAGTACAATGTGAGTGGAAAGAATCCAGAAGTTGGATACTCAGTGGGAAGGAAAAGGAAAAGGGAAAAAAATCCAAGAAAGCGATCAGAAACAGTAATCACGGAATTCCAGAGTCCTGGAATGGTTTGGGTGGGAAGGGACCTTAAAGCCCATCCAGTGCCACCCCCTGCCATGGGCAGGGACACCTCCCACTAGCCCAGGTTGCTCTAAGCCCTGTCCAGCCTGGCCTGGGACACTTCCAGGGCCGGGGAGTCCTTCTCTGCTCAGCCTGTGCCAGGGCCCGGCATTCCCGGAGCCAGCTCTGGATCCCCCTGTCCCCTTCCCAGCGTCACCTCATGGAGCTCTCGGGCACATGGTGGGATGTTGGGGTGTCCTGTGCAGGGCCAGCAGTTGGACTGGCTGATCCCAGGGGTCCCTTCCAGCTCAGAGTGCTCCATGATTCCACGATTCCCATCCCTCTCTCCCTGCAGGCGTTTCTTCAAGTCCCCGAACTTCGACGGCTGGTTCCGGCAGCGGCACCGGGAGATGACCCACAAGCTGGAGGCCCTGCACCTGGAGGCCATCTGTGAGGCGGTATGTGCCATCCAGAGGGGTTGGGGCAGTGCCAGGGGACCCCTGGGACCAGGGGTGAGGGCACTGCTGCCTCGGGCATTCCCTGGTCCTGCTCCGATGGGATCTGTGCCCTTGGGATCACGGCCCTGCCTCGTGTCCCTCAGGATACAGGGATAACCTGGGACAGGGCAGCTCCCACGTCCTGCTCCCGCTGCTCCTGCCAGCTGTTTGCCATTCCTCAGGCTCTTCCCAAGCCAGGCTGGAAGCACCAAGGGCTTTTAGTTTATTTGGCCCAAATAGTAGGAAGAAATTCTCTACTCAGAGAAGAGAAGGCTCCAGGGAGAGCTGAGAGCCCCTGGCAGGGCCTAAAGGGGCTCCAGGAGAGCTGGAGAGGGACTGGGGACAAGGCCTGGAGGGACAGGACACAGGGAATGGCTTCCCAGTGCCAGAGGGCAGGGTCACATGGGATACTGGGAAGGAATTCCTGGCTGGGAGGGTGGGCAGGCCCTGGCCCAGGTTGCCCAGAGCATCTGTGGCTGCCCCTGGATCCCTGGAAGTGTCCAAGGGCAGGTTGGACGGGGCTTGGAGCAACCTGGGCTGGTGGAAGGTGTCCCTGCCCATGGCAGGGGTGGCACTGGATGGGCTTTAAGGTCCCTTTTCCCACCCAAACTATTCCATGATCATCTGTTGTGATTTCCTTAATGCCTGATGAAAATAGGGAGGATTTTTGGCAGTGCCTGCTGGGACAATTCCTTGAGCTGAGCAGCTGCTGGAGTCCCCCAGGAGCCCTGGAATCCCTCCAGGTGCATCTCCAGCTGCTTCCACCCCTGGCAGCAGTGCAGGTCCTTGTCCATGGCGTGGGCAATGCCAGAGCTGCTCCTGGCTGGAAGTGGATTGAAATCCTGAGCACTGCTCCTGCAGGGAAGAGCCTGGTGCTGTTGTGGCCAGGACAGTGGGAAGAGCTCTGTCTCCCTCATTTGGGAATGAGGATGAGAAACCTGTCCTCACCTTTGTTTCAGGCTTTGCTTAGGGGTATCCTCTGGGCACTGTCCCTGAGGAAGGCCCCTCTCTCTCTGTAGGACATCGTGGCCTGGATGAAGGACAAGTCTGAGGTGGAGATCGTGGACCTGGTGCTCAAACTCCGGGAGAAGCTGGTGAGTTCTGCCCTATCCCTGCACTCGCTGCTCTCACTGTCTGTGGCAGGGACAGACCAGGGGCATGGATCACACCTGTGCCTTGGAAAGCTTTGTTCCCACTCCCTGGAGAACTGGGAAATGGGACAATCGGGAAACCTTGTGTAAAATGCTCAGAGTTCTGAGGGTTTGGGTTCTTCGCCTCCCTGAGGCCCAGGGGGTGTTTCCTTGTTGTCTCATATCCCAGACTAGAGCGACCACGTGCCAGAGCCAAAGGCAGAGGGGAAAGGGGAGCCCCTGAAGGAGTTTTGCCCCCGTGTCTGTCCCTGTGCTGCAGGTGCGGGCCCGGTGCCAGCACGTGCCGGTGAGGGAGGAGACGCTGCAGCGCGTGGGGCTCTACATCGACACCATCATCGGCTCCCTGCCCGAGGACCTGCAGGCCGTGCTGCACCACCCCTGAGCACAACCAGGGACCCTCCCACCCCACTCCCACCCCGCTCCCACCCGGCTCTGGGCAGCTGCAGTTGTGTTTGGAGAGGAGATTCCCTCCCGGATCCCGCCGGCGGGGCCCGGATCTCCCCTGGGGGGGACTCGGAGCTGGGTCGGAGCCGTGGCTGCCCTGGGGAGCCTGTGCACTGCTCCCTGTCTGATCCCGCTCCGAGGGGCTGGGCTGGAGCTGTCCACCAGGAATTGTTCCCCGTGTGGCTGCCAGCAGGGCAGGAAGTGCCACCAGGCCTCCAGCAGCACGTGCCAGGCTGTGCCCGGCCTGCGGTGCCCGCTCAGACACACCATCCTTGTCCAGCGCATTCCCATGGCCTCATCCTGCCTGGAAGGAGCAGGAGCAGCCCTAGTCGGGGCTCAGGACAGCTCCTGATGATGCAGATGAGGTGAAGAAGCTGCCCCTGCCCTGAGCAGCCCTGGCTCAGCCCAGTGCGAGCTCCAGCTGCAGGGGGAGCGGGAGGAGGAATTCTGGACGTGGAAAGCTGCTGGATTCTCTCCAGGGCAGAGCCAGAGAAGGAGGGGCTGGTGCATCCCCAAGGATCAAAGCTCTCCAGAGTGCCTGGGGTGGCTGCTGGGAGGAGCTGGCTCCAACTGCCATTCACTCTGCTTGGAGAGTCAGGTCCGTGACTGGGGCTGTGCCCGGGGCACTGGGAGGGCTGAGCTCAGCCCACTTCCCGAGAAAACCTGTTGGAAAATCTGATTCCTACAGCCCATGCCAAGAGGAATGCACAGGATTGGGCCCTGCTCCTCTGCTCCTGCCTTCAGAGGCAGCTCCCCCTGCCTGGAATCCCCTTCCTGCCCTGGGAATGGATCCTCTGTGAGCCCAAGGCCTTTGCTGCTCCATGTCTGTATTTCCCCGTCCGGGTGTCTGGCCAGGGCTGAAATTTTTGCCTAAAAAAAGGGGTTAGGAGGGATCTGGCAGCCTTGTCCTGTCAGAAGCCTGCTGTGGTTGAACCGGGCACCTTTGCAGGTGGCAGGATGGATCCTGCCCAGAGCCGTGGCATTCCCAGTGCTCCCAGTGGAACCTGCACCGTTTCCATCGCTCTGCCCCTTCTCGGGGCTGGGGAGGTGTGGGGGGCTCAGAGGTGGCTGAACTCCTGCATTCCCCCTCTGGAGCCAGGCACGGAGCAGCAGGAGCCCCCTGGGCCTCCCAGTGCCTCTGCCCTCCCTGGAGCCTGGAATTCTGTACAGTATCCTTAGGGACGGTGTATATTCTGTACATAGTCCGTGTGTGTCCGTGCACAGCTCTGGGGGCCCTGCTGGCCCCAAACACTCTGTAAAGTAGAAAATATTAGTTTAAAAAAAACCAAACCTGAAGCCAAGCTGGGTCCTGGTTTGGAGTCTCCAGAGTTTATTTGGTTTGGGATGGGCTGTCCCTGCTGTGGGGTTTGGTCACTCCTGGTTCACAGCACCCGGCCTGGTGTGTGTCCCTCTGCCCTTCCCGGGGCAGGGAATCATGGAATCATTTGGGTTGGAAAATCCCCTGAGCCCAGGGAGTCCAGCCCTACCCCAGCACTGCCAAGGCCACCACTGACCCATGTCCCCAAGTGCCACATCCACAGGGCTCTGAAATCCCTCCAGGAATGGGGCCTCCATCATCATCCTGTGGCTGTTCCTCAGCAGCCCAAATCTCCTCCTCCTGGCATTATCCCTCTCAATGATGTATTTTTAGTTTTGCATTTCTCCCAAACCCCATCTCCTGCAAACTCATTATCATGGAATCCCACACTGGTTTGGGTGGGAAGGGACCTTAAAGCCCATCCAGTCCCACCCTGCCATGGGCAGGGACACCTTCCAC